AATAAAATCTTAAAAAAAAAAAAAAAGGGAGTAGTAAAACTGTGTTGAAGTATTAAAGGGAATAGTAAAGCTGGTGATTTCCTTATTATGGGTTTATTACAAGTACTTATGTATTGGTTTGTTTTAGGTTTGGCAGCTATGGTTGTGAGTTACTTCTCTTCAGCATTCTCTTACCACAGAGTAATCTTTTGTACATCATTCATAATGGTCTGTCAGTTTTGTGGAATTTTAAAAAAAGGATTGAAAGACATTGTGCGGTTCAACTGAAAATACATTTGAAATTTTCGTTATATTTTCCTGAAAGAATTGTGATGAAATACATGTGAATGTTTAAAAAGCACAAAAGCCATTGTAGTCAAAGTTAGCCAAACATGAAAAGACAAAGGTAGTGGGTGACGGGCACTGCCAACTCGGCACCCCCCTAGTGGGAAGCCTTAGACTGCTGGAGTCCTCTTGGGTACAATGGGAAATTTTGGAAACAAGGGTAGAGAAAGGCAAGGTAGGAAGACCCCTCCCCCACAAGAAAAAACAGACATCCTTAAAAGGAAGAAGGAGGACAAATTTTGAGACATGGGGGAGAATTGACTTCATCTATTTCACAACTTTCAAAGGTCAGGGAGGAGCTGTGAAAAGACAGTCATGAAAATTTTTTCATTAGAGTGCCAACACTGAGCTAAGCTTGTGAGAGTTAATTGATATAATGTACCAACTTTATGAGGTAGATTCTGTTATTTTGCCCTGTATAAAATGGGGATACTTCTGGAGTCCCTCAGCCACTGGATAATGGGCTGGCTCACTTCAGGGTCTAAACCTGTAACTGCTTCCCCTGGGCTTTTTATTAATAATCATTGTAATAATTGTTGTAATTTTTATAGTTAATAACTAATTTGTAGTTGTAATTTTGTAGCTATTTAATTAGCTAATAAGCTAATAAGAGTTCATGAATCTTTAGGAACAAACAAATCACTTCTTGATACAATAAAAAACATGCTTCTGATATTTTGATAACTGTATATTAAATATCTCTACCACTGTGCAGAAAGATTGAAAATTTTGATACAAAAATATCATTAACGGGTTAGATTTGTTTTTAGTACATTGAAAATATTGTATTACTTACAAGCAGATTGGATCCAAGATGCTCTGATTTCAGGGGTATGGTAACTGAATTCATTGGACCTGAGAAAGTATCAAGTGATACTTTTGTCTTTTGTAAGTAATGTGTCATGGACATATTTCCTTCATTACAAAGTGGTCTTTAGGAAATAGGGGCCAAACCCTTTATTCTAAATTATGTATTTCTATTCTTAATGACTTTTTGTTACACGTCAATGGTTTAATGGTTACAGAGAAGATTCTAGAACATTTTTTATGTCAACACTTTTTTCACCACAACATTATACAGGATTTTCCAGTTGACTTTCTGCTCTTTCTCAAACCCAGACTGAAATCACAGAAGTGGGGAAATACACCGCTTTCCTCTTACCAAATAAAATGCTTGTTTCTGTCTTTATTTATACATTCTCACAGTTGCCTGAATCCAGAACCACATAGGCCGAAAGTAAAATATAAAATAGTTTGCTTGGAAAACATTTGCTGTATGAAGTAATTGTCACTAAATACTTTGGATCGACAAGCTGGTAAATTTCAGTTGGTTTTGAATAATACTTCTGCTAGTGTAAAATTGGCAAAATTTAGTGAATTTCAATAAATGGGAGCCCAGGAAAATAAAATCTAGGAGAATTTTATTAACTAATATAGCTCTGAATGATTTCAGTTCTGGTTAACTTCTCTCTCAACAGCCTTTTATTCCATGCATACCCATGGTATCATATTAGTTTTGCCAAGAATTGCTTTTATAAATCAGTTTTATATCTTCTTTTTAAATATTCTATAGTTTTGTATATTTGTGGTTGATATTTATAAAATAAGCAATAGTTCTTGGCATAATTAGACATAGAATATATGACTGCATATCTCTGAATTATATTTTAATGTTTTACTAACTTGTTAAGACAATAGGAAAAGGAACCTTTTTTTTTTTTTTTCAAATCTGGAATCTCTCCCAAATACCCTCAATATCTGATATGCTGAAATAACATAAGATTTGGGACTATGTCCTAATAGAGACCAAGCTCAGTATTATAATTATTTAGGTAATAGGGTGTCAAATCAGATCCAGGGTGTGAATTGGGGGGGCTCTCAAGGGCTCCTGGGAGGTGGAGGTCAGGGTGCCTGAGCATAACTCCATTTGCCCCCACAGTGAGGATGTGGCCTTTCTGGCACTGGAATTGGCTTCCGAAACAGGAGTAGAGGCAGGGTATCTGTAACTGATTTGTACTAATATCATAGATTGTGTGAGGGCATAGAGACTTGAATAGTGATGAAATTCTAAGTAGTAAAGGACAGCGTGCAGCAAGAAATTCAGCTTCTCAGGTCTTATAGTATCATGGGTAATTGTATGACCCCATTAGAGATTCTTGGGGCCAAAGGACTGCATGGCCGCAGCTGCACCAGTTTCAGCATAGAACAATATATGGCTGTCTTATATCTGATAAGATTTTACAGACAGGTTTTATTTCGATTCAGGACTTAATCTAAACCTATAGTGAGTGTGTGTATATGTATATTTGAATGGGAATTGATTACAGATGGTGTCATGCCAACTTATGTTCTATCGAAATGGAGGCCTTTATTTGGAACAATATTGATCTTAATTGATTGCATTGAGAATACGCATTTTCTGCCTTGGAAGGATACAATTCATATCATTCTGTGTTCTTTCTACAAAAACTCAGTTATTTAATTTTCCTTATTTTTATGCTCATGTTTTATAATGTTACTTTAAAATTTATATGGTTTTATATTATTTTCTAATTCGTATGTTTGTAAAAGTTTGTGTTTTCAACTAGACTACAAGCCCTTTGTTGATAGTCCTTGCTCACATACAACTTTTGTTCTTTGCAAAGGGTGTAGTGCCGTGACACAATGAATGGAGCCAAATAAAATCAACATGAATTCCAATTTATGATTCAAATTCAGATTTTTAAAACCAGAACTATATGCATGTGTCTTGCATTATAATTGTGGCTAACACATTGACCAATATTGTGTTAATAAAGTCAAGATGTGAAAATCAAAATAATGGTTTACTCTCCCTGTAATAGAAGATAACTTGATCTCATTGACAGTGGCCTCTCTACCACGTGCCTTGATTTACTGAGGAGTACTGCTCTTCTTTGAGAGCCCTGATAATGCAGAGGGCTTTCAAAGAAATACTGATGGGTCCCAATTTCCTTGTCTTTCAAATTCCTTTTTGGCCATCTGTCTAGTTACTTATTTCCAGTGTTACTTATTTTAACTGAAGTGTCCTTCAGAAAGGAACTAAGAAAAATGAATAAAAAATGGAAATTGGTTAGTGCCATCACTGTTTGCTTTGGCTGGTAAAAGATTATTTTGGTAAATGCATTGAATGACTGTCAATAGAACTGCTTGCCCATTAATGAATATGCTAATGTTATTCTCAAGTTGGTACAATGAACATCAATATTCTCTGAATTTTGCTGAAGAACTTCTACATCTAGGTGGAGCCATGTGAAAGAGTTCTCTATATTTCTTTCTGTCCTCAAGCTGTGCCCTGCATATTTTTCATAGTTTTATGAACAAGGGAATCATTAGGAGAAAGATTGTTGTATTTTATAGAAGGAATTAAAGTTCCTGGGTGTTTCATGGCTCAGTTTGGAGGATATTAGTCTTACTAGTTTTTAATTATGGTTGTGAGGTGGTGGGGGTCTTTGTTGTACTGAATCTGAACTCCTATGACTTGACAGTTTTTCTTGCATTATTCATTTTAAATAGTATAGGAATATATTCAAGTGAAGTATCCTTATTTTTATCACTTATGTTGGTCTGAAAGAAGAACCAAGGTTAATATTCTCATAAGTGTTTCTTTTTGAAAGCCTTTATTTAAAACTTTAACTATCAGTAGATGTTCATATAATATTGAATCCCATAAATTTTCTCCATTCCAAATTGGATTATTGTCAGTAGCAGTGTTATACTGTAAGTGGATGATGTAAGTTTGAAATTATGCATTATTTACAAGTTAAAAATCCAATCAGGACTTGAATTCATCTTTAGTGATAAAGTCTATACTTTTTAAAATTGAAATACTACTTTATTACTTTTTAGGGAATGCCAGGATTTCCTGGAAACCAAGGATTAATGGGACAAAAAGTGAGTATTAATGAAACTTGAAAGATTTGGGGCTGGATCTGTTTATTAGAAGGGCAAAGTGGTAATATCTTCACATAGAATACATTCTTACCACCTTCATGGCAACAGTTAATTGTTCAAATATGATATAATTTCAGAAACTATTATTTTGTCTTTATAATTAGTTTTTGTTTTGTTGTTTTATACAGATAATATTAATTTGGGTTTATACATGTGCTTTCTATTTTACTTGGTTACTTTTCTATCTTGTGCTCTTTGACCATCCTTTTGGTATAATTTTACTACTTCCTGAACTATATCTTTAGCAGTTCTTTTAGTACAGATATCTTGGTAATAACCTTTTAGATTTTATCTAATTTTAAATATCTTTATTTTACTTTTGGTTTTGAGGGATCATTTTGTAGGACATATGACTCAAGGTTGATGATTATTTCACTGAAACATGTTGAGGATTTTCTTCTATTGTCTGCAGGATTCCCTTATTAACTATGAAACATCTGCTCTCATTCTAATTACTGTTCTTTTGTAACTGATCAGTCCCTTTCTTTGGGATTCTTTTAAGGTATTTTATTTGTCTTTCATGTTCTAAAACTCATTACAGTGTATCTAGATATGCATTTCTCTTTATTCGCCCTGGGGAGAATTCAGTTTTCTTCCTGGCTCTGTGGAATTATTTCCACTAACTCTGGAAGACATCACCTGTTATTTCCAAATTACATCTCTTCCAATCTTTGTTCCTTCCTTCTGGAATTACAGTTAGATGAATTTTATTTCTTCTCATTTTGTCCTCCATGCTTCTGAAGAGCTTCTTATTTTCATATCCTTGATTCTAGCATTCTGGTTAAATTTTTTGGATATATTTCCTACTGTACTTATTCTTCCTTTACTGTGTCTACTCTGCTGTTTAAACCATCAATAGATTTAAAACAAGACAATCATACTTTTCATTTCTGAAAGTTCAACTTTTCAATAACATCTTTTTATTCTTGACAGCCTCTTGTTCCATTTATGGTCCTAATCTTTCATGATTCCATTCTTTAATTTGTAAAGATCTCATATATTCTAAAATCTGTTTCTAACAATTCCAGTATCTGCAATTTGTTATTTCTGTTAACTCTCAGTCTTATGGCTTGCTGCCTCTTTCTTTCTTGATGAAAATGAGCTCATTGCTTCATGTTAATTGTTGTGAGTTCTGTCAGCCTAATTGGGGCATGGAGAGCTGCCTCCTGCTGGTAGCCATGGATATCACATCAGCCCCTGTAAGAGTCCTGGGTCGTCCCAGGTATTAAAGATTCCCACCCTCCCCTCATGGCTAGCCCACCATTCAGTTTCTCATGCACTGGACACCTCCAGCCTTGTTGGCTCCTGCATCTCTATCTCTGGCAAGATTTCTGCATAGATCTAAATCCTCATAATCATAGTGTTAACGCAGCGTATATTTTATTAAAATGCGGGATCTTTGAAGACCTCTCCAACTTCTTATAAGACCAGCACTATCTCCCAGAGGATGTTCTTTCCAGGTTTTTGTTCTTGTTGTTCAGGGTTCAAAGACGCCCTTGGAGTACCTAGTTAGCCACAGTCCAAGAAATTGAAGTAGAAATGCTATTCTATATCCTGTATTTTCTTAATTTATGTTTACTATCATGTTTCTTCATCTATGATAAGAAAGAAAATTTTTCACATGATAATTCCCCCCCCCCCATTGTCTTACCTCACCAACTCTGTGTGAACTTCCAGGTCTTTGTTTGAAACAATGACAGTATCTCTCCTGATTTTCTCATAAAAATATATGACTTAGTGATTTCACAGACCTTAGGCCCAAATCTTTAAGGTGTTATGTTCCTGATTTTTCCATCCTATGTTGCTTCTGTTTTACAGTAGAGAAAGGGGAGACAGACTGGGCTGATTGGTATTGAATTTTCATTTCATAATGCTTTGGTGGGAAATTCCTGGAAATGGATTGATAATTCAAAATTTTAAATTTAATCTGTATTTGATTTTTAGGGAGACATTGGGCCTCCAGGACCACTAGGAAAAAAAGGAGCTCCAGGGATTCCTGTATGTTAATGTCATTATTATCAGGGTGTTTGAAATACATTTTCTGTGTACCAGGAGTTCTTATTTTGGAGTTTATAAAACTGGGGAGGATCCAACAGTGAGATTTTGGGAGTCCACAAATCCATTTGTATGAAAAAGATTATGTCCATTTTTCCAGAAACCAGAAAACAAATATTCTATCTATTCATTAAAAAAACTAAGTACCATAAAAAGTCTAAAACTTTAAATGTTCTTTTTTCATTTTTTTAAAAAATTACACATTTATTACACTAATGAGGAAGAATATGTTCAGAAGAGGTAGTATAGGAAGATCCTTAATTAGTGAGCAAATAATTTTGGGAGTTTTGAGACTGGAAGGGACATATGAGTTTGATATTAGAAGTTATGAAAATCCTATTGTATGTGTGCAAGATTGCATAAAAATTGCTAGAAGTGATGTTGATTTTAATCTGTGATTCAAATTACCTATAATAGCTTTTTCTTTAAGTTAAATGGGTATCTCTCATGTTTAACAGTTTATGACTTTATGTAAGTTAACACAGATATTTTATCCATTGCTTGGTGAAAGAGTTGGTGAATTTTGCACATAAGAGTAAATAAGAAAAATATTGTGCATTAGATATGAATTTGACTTTTGGGGAGGTTTAAAAGAAGACTGTTCCCTTTAAAATGGAATATTCAACCTCCACCTTCACAACCATGTCATTTGTTCATTGAAAGCATAAACTTGGTGGGGCGCCTGGGTGGCTCAGTCAGTTAGGCGACTGCCTTTGGCTCAGGTCATGATCCTGGGATCTTGGGATTGAGCCCCGCATCGGGCTCCCAGCTCTGCGGGACGCCTGCTTCTCCCTCTCCTACTCCCCCTGCTTGTGTTCCCTCCCTCACTGTGTCTCTCTCTGTCAAATAAATTAAAATCTTAAAAAAAAAAAAAAAAGAAACTTGGTGATTTACCAGTATCTGAGTTAGCTTCCCGAAACTGAAGGTATTGGCTAGAACTTCACTGAACTTTGAGAATATGTATATGTAACATACCTAATATTTTATACACAATGCGATGAGCCAGTATGTTTTATATTTTATAGTTGCAGTAATATCCTAAATTGATAGCAAAGCGTAGTAGTGATGACATGGTATTTTAATATGATACTATTGAGATTATGTTTTCTGATGATACTAATTGCATATTTTTTGCTCATCACGTTTCCTTTGCTATGTTTAAGAGAAAGCAAATGCTTTAATGTATGTAGTGGTATTTAAAGTAGAATCTAAATTAAATTAGTTCCTTGTTGCTAGAGTAATTATTGTCATATTTTGAATTATATGGTTAAAAATATGATCATTTTGTAACTTGAAGAGAGATTGTTAGATTCAGAGAATTTATTAGATGGTAACTCTTTCAAAATATTGTTTAAGAAACAGAAATTGAATGTAAAGTTGACCAGGATGACATCTCTGAAGAAACCTAATTTAGCCATCTTGACAAAAGGAAGAAAGTGAGAATATAGGGAAAAAAAAAAATCAACTTTTGTTTACATTTTTCTTTTACTAGCTTTCCAGGAATTTTTGCTATTTGTAGGTTATTTGAGCAACCACGTTAGGAGGGCTTTGCTGGCCTTCATGCTATCTTGCATAGATTTTTTATTATCCTTTATTTGGATGTATGTGGGAAACTTTTCCCCATATTGTATTATTTTTTAGCAGATTATTTTGAGAATGTGTACCTTGGAAATTGATTTAATATTTTTCTAATATTTTTTTCTAAATTACTCTTGAAACTTCCACTTAAAAATGTAGGGTTTGATGGGACATGATGGCTTGCCCGGTCAGCCTGGAACACCAGGATCTAAGGTAAACAAAATGAAACTAAATAAGATAGAAAACTTTATGGAAAATGATCATTTATGTACTCAGGAAAACTTTTAACTATACTGATTTTATTTAAATGTGGTTTTAATTCTATGAACAGTCATTTGTAAGAATGAAATCTTAGAACAAAAACTAAGCATATAAAAACAGCCTGATGTAAAGCAGGTCTGGTTTAAGCAGGAAAATGTCCGGAATCTCTCACTACTTGAGCCCCTCCTCTCTCATCATCCCAGGGGCACTGAGGACTGTGTAGAGTTGTATGGAGTTTGGTGCCAAACCCCACCAAATGGAGAGGGTTAGTAGTTAGGATTGAGGACAACTTTTTACCAGTTCCTGAGTCATCATCTTGATATTTTTATTTGGTAGAATGTATATGGAATTTTTATTGTAAAATGCCTTGTCATGGGTTTTATTAGGCATTCTCTCCTTCAGAACTGTGGGTAAGATAGTATATTATCTTTACTTTCATTTTTAAAAAATGTCAGGCAAGCCTGACAAATATGTTTAGGATGTCAGGTTAGGTTATTCTCAAGATAGAACTGAAACTCTGAATACCATGGTTGGACCATTTTCTAGGTATATGGAATCGTGTGCTAAGACAGCTATTTTTTTTTTTTTTTTCTTAGTTTATTAGAGGCTCAAATCAAGTATGTTCTGGCTAGACTCAAACCATTCTCAACTATTTAATGGTAGAATGTAGGACAACCTTACAAAAGGAAATGATGGAATTGCTCTTTTGGAAGAATTAAACCTTTAACTAGACGTCGTCCCATGGGAATAGACCCTGGGATACAAAACGAGTAGATGAGTAGATGACCTAATCTATTCTACTTTTAATTTCAAAACTACTTAGAGAAAGAAATAGGATAAAACATCATGGGAGCCCAGTGATGAGGGAAAAGTAGCTGCCTTTTCACCAGTGGTGGATCCTTGTGAATCCTTGGAGTATTGTGTGTCCTAGCAGTAGTAAGTATGCACAGAATTGGTATAAAACCCTTACCAAGTGGAGATCCTGCACAATATCTCAAAGTCATTTTCTAAGAAGATACAGAGTTAAGAAGATACATAGTAGTTGTAATTGGGGTACAGTGGACTCCCCCGTGGTGTTCTGGATGCTCTAATTCTTATGAATTCAGCCTAAGATTTCATCAGCTTGTTTTTATCAACCACTTCACATTGTTAGCTCACACTGAGCTAGGGGTCATTAAATCTGCTGGAATTTTCATAAAAAGTTTTAGAACAATACTGTATGGCATCCACCACTTGAGTAGATTCTGCTGATATGGCTGGGAAAGCTGATATGGCTGTTTCCAGGATCAGTTTGCTTATTTTTACATGAATTACTGTAAAGTTTGTTTTCTCTCATCTTGTATTTGTGCAATTATTTTGTTAAAAATAGATTCAAAGTGTTAAAATTATACCTCTTGAATGTAATCTTTTCAGTGAGACACTTCAACTCTTTTTCATGTAGTATATTAGCTCAGGTGTTCTGCAAAAGGCCAGATAGTAAATATTTTAGTCTGAGAGCCATATAGCTTCTGTTGCAACTTCTCAACTCTGCTATTATATTGCAAAAGCAGCCATGGACTAACTGTGTGGGATGTGCCTGTGTTCTGGCAAAACTCGATTTACAAAACCATGCATTGGGCTGGATTTAGCCCATGGGCCATAGTTTACTTACCTCCATGTTAGTTTATCTCTGCCTGTTTTGTCAACTAGTAAGTTTGTCAACTCTGCCTTCAATATCAATTGGTATGAATTTTAGGGTGGGACAAAAAAGTTGTATTAAATAGGGCAAGGACAAGGCTGAAACTCCATGGTGAATCTTTAGAAAACATCTAACTTGGTTTATAATACCTTTTTTTTTTTAAAAAAGCCATTAAGCCATACTATATTCTAGTTTTAAAAATTGTTATCTAAATGACATTAAGATATGTTAACATAATCAAGTCCTGTAACTGTAACTTGCAGCAAGTCTTGTCACCTCTGTGAATTTCTGCTTAATCACTTGTAAAAGTAGAAATTTTATGGAACCATTGTTCAATGGCTTAATAATGCTGTTACGTGCTGAATGCTTTAAGTCCAAATATTGTGTTCATATGTTTCAACATGAGCAACCTAGAAAACTTTTCAAAAGCTGAAAATGAAGTTGATTACCTTTACTTATTAGTACACCCAGTTTGGCTCTTGCTTTTGCCAGACATAGACTAGATTGGGATTTTAGGTATCAAAGTATATTTGAAAACGAACACTATCTTTGACAGTCTCCCCTTATTAGCCAGCAGATGTGTTCTCTCTATATATAACCAACCCCTTTTATATTTTTATATTCTTTGCCCTGTCAAGTTGGTGTTGCCCTCCCAGCTTCTATTAGAAAGGACTGCACTCGAATCCTGAAAAAGAACACTAAGTAAACATTTTCTGATTCATATTTTTTCAAAAAAAGAAAGCCACTGTACATTTGAAGCTAATTTTCTTTCCGTCAGTTGCATGCTGAAGGTGAGTCGTGCTGAGAAAATGAAACAGGGCAAAGATGAAGATTCTCAGTGTATAGGACGTTGTTAAAATACATGGCTCTGGTCTGTGGAGTATGGAGACCCAGCTAATTAGCACTGGTTCCTGAGGTTTCGTAACTTGTCCCTTACTTGTAGCTGCTAGCTTTAAAACATGCTTTTAGAAAGCTTTATAAATATGGGGACTCATTCCTTGCCCAAAAGAGTTTTTCTTAATAAGTAGGCTTAACATACAGAGTCTATGTTTCAAACAGTTGGAGAGTTGAAAATGTAAAAATTATTTTAAATGTATTCTCTTAAGTGTTTATATCAGATATATTGTGACTATATTTTTTAAAATTCAAATGGTTTGATGCATTGACAGGGAAATAAAGGTGAACCTGGACTTAAAGGGATGCCTGGGGCTTCTGGACTAAAGGTAATTATCATTTGAGGCATTTGGAAATATATTCAAAGAATTGTAAGTCCCCTTCATTATTTGATGTATCCCTTAAGAAAAGTTATATGAAATGAAGGATTATCTATATTACAAAATTAACAAACATGAAGGAAAATGGCCAATGTGAGATTTCATTTGTATTTTGGACACTTTATCATAGTTTGGGTTAACAGACATAAACTGCCCTTTGGCTTGATTTTGCTAGAAATGGTAAAAGCCATATGCTAATATGAACCTCCTCTTTGGTCCAGAGAATATCACTGTCTTCTGTAACTGAAGGAAAGTGTGTGTAGCTCTCACAAGTGGTGCTATTTTTTTGTATGCTGATTGAAGGGATTTAGTGTGGGGTCTCAGAGCCCTTTATACCAGTTTCCTCCAAACCAAGTGGTTGATGTTTATTTCAATAGGATTTTCAAATCTCTTCAAGCCTTTAACAATCTACAGTAATATTCAACAGTTCAGGAATAGGCATAATAAGTAAAGAGGACAAAGCTCTTTCCACAAAAGAGAGTAAGCTTTAGTTGATGTGATAGAGTTTGAAATTAATGGTAAAACGCAAACCAAAAAACCATGAAGCAAGTTCAGGATTCCATCCTATATCTTACAGATATGACCTAAATGTCATTGACACATCATCACTATAACTTTCAGAAAATTTCCTCATGTAAGACTTTTAAGCAATCTTTATTTCATAAAGGAAATAATCCCTTGGGATTATCCATGGGATGATGGAGAGCAGAGGAATTAAGTTGTGGAATATTACCTGTACTGGAAATAGCTCAAGAATTTACTTCTAAAAAACAGTATTCCTTACGTACAAAGAAAAAAACATGAGTGTGTTTACTATTTAGTTACAAAGATGTTCACCCCAATATTGTTTATGAAAATAAAAATGGTGAAAACTAATGTTTAATAATTGGCATTTTATTAAAACAAATATGGTAAATCAATACAGTTAAGTACTATTCTGTATTTAAAATTACGTTTTAAAAACATAACGGCATATGAAGAACATCACGGTATTAATATATTTTGTGGTAAAAGACATTCTAAAATGAAGTATGCATACTGAGCAAATCTTAGTAACTAAATTGTTCATTGTGTGCTTGTGAGAGGTAGAGAGAAAATCTATAACAAAGTAAAAACAGTAATGAGATTTTCAGTAATTTTAGTTCTATTTACTCACCAGTTTTGTAACAATAAAATAGGTTCTTTAAAGTAGCAATATGAGAATAAGCAGTTTCAAGGAAGAAGAGAAAGTTAATAAAACAAAAGATACCTATGTTTATTATCATTACTTTATTATTTACTTTCTGGTTGAAGCTATGAAATAAAATAAAAATGACAAATATTTATAAAATTTTAAAACATTGCTATCAGAATAGTTTAACTAGCAAAGATAGGAAAAAGTGTAAGAAGTGTTATCAGGACTCCAGTTATCTTTTCATTCTTTACTATGTCTGCAGTAATAACTCTAAATGTCAACTAATTTTGTAACCATGGATTATAAATTGGAGATATATGTAGGGATAAAAACAGTGGTGTTTTTCATAAGCAGTAGGTTTGCAATCTTTATGTAATTTCTATGTTACCTAGGGAGAACAAGGAGCAGTAGGTCTCCCGGGAGAACCAGGATACCTGGGTTTACCTGGAATTCAAGGAAAAAAGGTATGCATTATTTAGGAGATATAATTAACTTTTAATCAGCTTTTTAGCATGTAAGTCTTCCTTTTGTGAAAGTATCATAGTAGGACTGATTATACTTTTAACGATAAGCTGACTTTTATATTTGTATATGTATGATCTGATCCACACCATGTCCATAGCTGTGGTATCTTTCATGTCCCTACATGGGTATGGTCTCCTAGATGAAGGCCTTGGATGAGGCATGCAGCTCAGAAAATGGAAACATATCCTTAAGTAATATCCTGTAAGTTCAGATTGCTTTGTTGTCAGTCCACATGAATCAGAATTTTGTAGGAAAAGTATTCCATGTCAGGCATTCTTACCGAAATGTGAACATTACTGTTACCAAAACTGGGGCAAAAGTGTAAAAAGATAAAAATTACACCCAGAATGTTTGACCATGAAGTTCCTATTTATGAAAGAGTGTATTACATAGAATTTCATTTAAAATGAATTTGAGGAGTTTAAAATACAAATCATGTATACTGATGTAGAATGATTTGGTGAGAGAAGAGAGCAACACTTTAGGTTCATTCTCTCTCCTCAAGTAAAGGAAGGCTGAAGCTATATCTATATAAATATTATTTGGGGGTTTTAAGACACAACTAACTGCCCATTTGTCAAAGAAGTCAATCCCACTGCAAATACATACATTTCAGGATAAAAGTAAATATACTGGCTTTTATTCTGGAAAGGATACTAACTTACATCTTCATCTATATATCCCTTGCTGTTTTAGTTTTTCTACCATTTCAATTTTCTGTTTCTCATGTGTTATATACTTGGCCCCTAGGTTATTATAACTAGTATGATCCTTGACCTTTTTTTTTCATTAAGCAGCTGGTAACACAGGAGAGACAGGGATGACACTCAGCAGCAATGAAGTGTTAGAAACTTAGTGCATATTAAGTAAACCTGTGAATATATGTTTGGATTTAGAGAAATTTAGTGTTCAAAACTTGCCCTTTAAAAGATCACCTATATTTTGTTTGTTGTAAACACAAAACTCGCTCTTTGTTTAGAGAGCATGGTAAGGTAGAAAAGAAATTTGGAAACAGTGTCCAGGTTCATCTTAGGGCAAGTGCTTATCTTTCTTGATTTGCAGATTCATCGTATTAATTCATATTCATATTCATGTCCTTGTAAGAACCAGGACATTGAATTAGTTGATCTCGAATATCTCCTCTAGCTGAAAAAATCCTAGGATTTTTATTTTTATTCTGGAATATGGATATCCCCCCAAATTCATTTTTGAAGCATATGTTTTCTAAAATACCATTTCAACATAATATTCTACTTCATTGCGTCCTATAAATGTGTGGCTACAACTGGCTCAATGGAAGATTTTCAGTTTGATTTAATAAAGCAACAGTTGTCAAAATGAGTTTTCTCATGTTTGTTTAACCTCAGATGGTGGTCAATACAGAAAATTGTCTTATTCCTGGTAAAATAGAAATTGTGGTCAATTTTCCTTTCAAATGTAAGAGCACAAGACAGTGTTCATTTAGAACATCATTTTGACATAATACGATTTTACTCTCTTCCCAAATACTGTTTTGGAATCAGCTTCTGCTTATAACTTGTGGAATTTATATGAGACCAAATATTTTTTTCCTGTGGAAAAATGTTTATTTGAAAGGATACAGAAGATCCTAGATTATGCTAAACATTAAACTGCCTTTTTTGCAGGGGGACAAAGGAAGTGAAGGTGAAAGAGGCATTCAGGTATGTTGCTGGCTTTTTTATTTTTGTTTGACAATAAAATCAGGGCTTTGCTCTTTTTAGTTCTTACGTGGTTTCCAACTCCTTCCTGTTTTGCCATCAGTATCTAATTGTTAAGTCCCAGCTTTCTTCCTGTCTTCTAAACATTTTAGTCATCATCAAATCTCATTTTAAGATTCTTCTTCACTTCAGTGTTATAGAAAACTTGGGAACCAAATAGTTCAACAAAAACAGTTATAGATTTTATTACATTATTTCTAATATCTTTATTTATATATTTATGGAAAGTATGTATGTTTCCAGAAATGCTTTGAAATGGCTTATGGCACAAATCAATTCGAAAAGAAACCATTAACACCAAATATAAAACATGTTCAAACTAACAGATGGAAGGAGAATTATACCAAAAAATTAAATCAGGCTGAGGACATCTAATGATTTAGAAGCATGTTTCATTTGGGTGTCTTAGCAACAAAGGCAAAGAACTCTAGAATTTCTGGAGGCATAAAAGGAAATTACAAATTGAAGTAATAGTAGAGTTAGACTCTACTAAGGTTAGAGTCTCAACAATTGTTTTTCAACTGTTGATTCAATTTCTTTTACTGAAGATATTCAGGTATTATTATGATGTCTTTAAGTTAATTTTGAAATGAAGAGTGAGGCAAATTTTAAGGAAGTGTCTGTGAGGCTCTAAACCTACATATTCCAATTTCCTTCTTGGTACTGAGTTTGGATATCTCATGTGCACATCAACGTGTCCAAAACAGAACTTGTCACCTTTCCCCATAAACCATCTCCTACTCTGTTCTTTGTCATGGTAATTGGTAGCACTGTGTAATGACGTGAGGGGAAAAAGTCTTGAAAGTTATCTTAAAATTCATTCTCTTCTCTCTCCACCAGCAGTTTCACATCTAAGTCTCTCTGGAACTTGGCCCCTTCTTCCTGTCCACACTGTCCTAATCATTTCTTGTCATGGGCCTCAGATTACTGCAGTGTCCTCCTCACTGGTCCCTTGAGTGCAGTCTCCTTCCTTCCTCCCATGCTCCTACCAGCATGCAATAACTAAGCTACACATCTGCTCAGGAATCCTTCCGTGGTGCCCCACACATTTCAAGATAAAGTCTGTCCCGGAAAGTGCTTCCTTGTTTGACTCTTTTTGGTCATTTAAGGTTGAGTCTTTTTCCCTACCCTATAAGATGCCCCTTCTGTCAGATACCCCTTCCTGTTCCTGTAGTATCCAGCCCAGATATTTAAGTATGCATTTTCATTATTCTTGATTTAATGGCTTATCTTTCCCACCACACAGTAAGCAACATGAAGGTAAACAATATCTTTGTTTCAGTGTCCCTCTGGGCCAGCAAATAGGTGTCACTCAATAAATATTAGGAGTTCACTTAAGTAAATAAGTGAATAAATCACGATGCAAGAGTGATTGAAAATTTAAGTCACTAGATCATTCATTGATTATATTACCTAGGTATTTGTTTTCCTAGAAATTGCTAATTATCTTGTCCAACGTAGGGATGAAGTAGTGCTTTAGGGGCTAGGACCATGTATTATATATGATGGATATCCAAAAGTATTTATTAAAGGGACAAATGTGTTTATATCTTTATTAATTTTCCTCTCTTATTTGTCCTGATTTAAAGATCTTCATGCAAAATGTTTTCTATGGTACTCATCATACTGAAGTATAATTGACATATAATAGTATATGGTTGACCCTTGAACAATGTCGGTTTGAACACCCCAGTTCCACTTACATGCAGTTTTTTTTCAATAAATATAGTACAGTATCATAAATGTATTTCTCTTTGTTACGATTTTCTTAACATTTACTTTTCTCTAACTTAATTGTAAGAATAGGATATATTACATATAACATACAGAAGATGTATTAATTGATAGTTTATATTATTCATAAGGCTTCTGGTAAACTGTGGTCTATTAGTAGTTAAATCTGGGGGGAGTCAAAAGTTACACACAGATTTTTGACTTTGAGGGAGGTTGGTGCCCTCAACCTCTGCATTGTTCAAGGGTCAACTATATTGCAGGTGTACAACATAATTATTCAAAATTTGTATACACTGTGAAGTGGTCACCACAATAAGTCTAGTTACCACCTATCACCCTACATAGTTACAAATTTTTTCTTTTGATGAAAACTTTTGAGAATCACTCTCTTAGCAACTTTCAGATATCAATATGGTGTTACTAACTGTAGTAACCATGCTATACATCCATCCCCAGGACTTCTTTATTTTATAACAGGAAGTTTATGTCTTTTGACCCCCTTCACCTATTTCACCCACCCCCCTCCATTCTGGCAAACATTATTCTGTTCTCTGTATCTATGAGCTTAGGTTTTTTGGTTTGGTTTGGTTTGTTTGTTTTATTTTGTTAGATTTCACGTATAGGTGAAATCATACAATATTTGTCTTTCTCTGATTTATTTCACTTTGCATAATGCCCTCATGTTCCAGCCATGTTGTCACAAATGGCAAGATTCCATTTTTCAAAATTTATGAGTAATATTCCACTTTGTAGTGTATTTTTAATTTTTAAAAATTCCTTTAAAGATGTCTTCTTGTCTTGGCATGTGTATAGTCAGCACTGAACATAGTTATGTCATTGAAATTAACAAAATGTCCACAGCCATTGGATTTTTAAATTATTTTCATGTTGTTAATATTAGGGTTGATTTTTTTTTTCTTCCTCTGAGAGACTTCTTCCTCTCTTGCATCATTTTATATATTTGCATCACTGGTTTGGTGACATTTCTTCTTAACCACAGGTTAATACATAGTTTGTGTCTTAGATGTGATTGCATTATATGTGTGCAAGCTAATCAGTAATTTTTATTAAATTTTAAAGGGCCAAAAGGGAGAAAATGGAAGACAAGGGATCCCAGGGCAACAGGTATTTTTGTTTTCTCTGATGGTCGATGAAATAATGAATCACATAACTGGATGGTGTTGGGAGCCGGTTACTTGCAAATGGAAATGAGTGGGAAGAACAGCAGATGTAGTACACACCCTAAGCACGCGAGGAAGAAAATGTCAGGTGGTGGTGCTGATAATGGTTGGCTTTAATCATTTGCCTTATATTTTCATTTTTCTGTACTGATTGGTGACTGTTATACTTGCTTTTCCATGCTTTTTTCTGGTCAAGTGAATGACTGTCTTGGAATAGTTATTGGCCAAAGGCAGCCATCCAATGGCAGTATCTCCATATCTACTGTTCAGTCTTGATTTATTTCTTGACATGTGAGTAGTTGAAGCCTGTTAGGAGGGGAGGAATGTACTTGTTTCCCTCTTACGGGTTCAGAGATAGAATTTACTACGCTGGAGATTAATTAGATACTATCTTGAGGGACTGTGTTACGGAATAGATTCACAGTGAAATTGTTTTGCTTCTTCCCTGTCTAGACTCTCCTTATTAAGTAGTGTTTGTAGTGAGATTGCCATGTGGCCTGCAAGTTCAGTCAGAGCTAAATGGGGCCAAAAGAGGCCTACAAATGATTTGTACTTGATGTAGCTTGCGTGCTGCTGCATTGCTGAGAGTTGAGCTCAGATCCAGCTTGGTCCGCACTTGGAAGGGCAAAGTGTACACATGAGTCCCCTGGTGGGGTAGACCTCTTTCGAATGTGACATTCAAGAGATTCAGTAATTACACTGGTTCTGAAGAGAGGGGGATAAAACTGAGTGGTGTCTTTGAGGACAGAGGTCTCTGTGTCCCTCAGCTGGAGAAGTGAGAGACCATGGGGGCGAGGTCTGAAAGCATATGGTCACAAGGTTATCTATAATAGAGGATGGAAGGTTAGTGCTGGTATTAAGGAGACTTGAGAATTTAGAAGCTAACACCAAGAACAAAAGTAACTAAGAGGAGAAATGGCCCGACTTTGCCTGCATACAACTGTGTTCAATAAAATGTGTCTTTTGATTTTGATGCCCCTCCACTTGACTCCGATCCTCTTGATGATACAGCCAGCTCTGTCCCCCTTCTCCTCACAGACAACACAGACTTGCCCCCTTGGTTTCCCTGAGTTAATCACACAATATGTTTAAACAGCTGTTCTCATAGGAGGACCTTCACCTCTTCATCCATTCAACCTCTGCAACTCAAGCCTTTCCCCCCAAATTCTTACAGTAACTGTCTGAAAAGAAGGTTATTTCCTGTCGAGTCTGAGCTCCCAACTTCGCTAGGTCTGGCTTCCGGATGACACTCTCCACAGTTCCCTTAACGTGTTTTCTTTTTCCCCTCACTTCTCAAGGGAAAGAGCGGTCTGCTCCCTGGGCTTCTGCCCTAGATTTGTTGGCCGCTGCATTTCTCACCACCAGGAACTCTGAGCCCTCAGGGAGTACCTGGGGGTCAGAGCAACTCTTGCTTTTCAGCAGCCAAATAGTTGTCCCAAGCTCTTTAAATAAACAGTACTAGTTACCTGTCATTTTACCAAGTGCTGCAAGTGTGTGATTTCTTGGCTTTTGTGTTGTGTTTCGCTCATGAGATCATCCTGGTGGATTCTCAGATGACAGCTGTTTTCAGTTTTAGCTCTAATTCAGTTCTAGTTGTGCAAACTGAACTCTCTTCCTACCCAAGCTACCGGTTGTAGGGTTATGTCTGGTAGGGAACACCCCTGCGTTTCTTCAGAAACCTCAATATTTAAAGAATAGTCTTACAGTGTTTTACTTGCTATATTTACATGAAAACTTGGTGTTTTTATGCTCTCATTTTGAGAATCTGCCTTTCTCTGTGCCATACATGGATTTTTCCCTAATTTGTCTTCCCTTTTGTCTCATCTGGGTGTCTTTGTTCACGGAACCTAGAGATGAAGCCAAATAAATATTCAAACGCAAAATATATAGTGTAAAATGTTATATGCTAAATTTTGTATTGAATTGTGGAACACCCTTTCTAACTGTAAAGTTGAATCATGAAATCCTGCCTGTGTACGTGCAAGCTCTACCCTTGTTCCTGAACTGGTATGGGGTGAGTTTAGAGCCTGAGTGTACAAGGAATTTCAAAAATGGGAAATTCTAATGCCTTTCTTGAAAGTTCTTATCACCTGTAATGTGTCATTGTAATGAACTCCCAACTAGAAGTGGGAAGTAATTTAATAGAGCCATCCAGATGCATTCAATGATTGTAACGGTGAGTGAGTTTCCTGTGTGGGCTCCCCAGTGTGTGTATCACTTGGGGAAGAATACCATTTATACCTCACATGGCTTTTCTAATCTCTGAATTACCAGCTGTGAATGGTTTAGGTATAGGACAGATGGGTATTTTCTTCCCTAGTAATCATTTTGAATGGCATATTTGCTTTAACTCATCTTTTACAAATAGTACTCAATTGAAATTTAATTTTAAGAACATAAACTTGGGAAAATAGAACATTTAATCACCAAATAAAAGACTAAATATATCTTACCTGATTTGAGTTTAATTTCCATTAAAATAGTAATGTATTTAAAAATCAGAATAGAATTTAAATAGAATTCAGCTAGAATCCCATTCTAACCTACATATTTGACCTGCATATATAAAAATATTCATATCTAAGAATGAAATAGTTACATAAATTCACATTTTCTTATTACCCAGTTAGCATATTGCCTAGTCATTAGTCTCCTTTAAAAAGACAAAAAAGGTGATGGCCCTTGAATGGGCGGGACGTGGCCGGAACTAAAGTGCGCAGTGTCGCAGTTGGTGCACGCTGTGACGGCTGGGGTTGAATTTAGCGCTTGGTGATCTTTCCTCTTTTCTTCTTCCATTCGCCTCAGAAGAGAACAGTCACCACACTCATGGCAGGGATTTTGCGCTCCATAGTTCAGAGGCCCCCAGGCAGACTCCAAACTGTGACAAAAGGTGTGGAGTCTCTTATTTGCACGGATTGGATTCATCACAAATTTACCAAGTCAAGAATTCCAGATAAAGTATTTCAGCCTTCACCTGCAGATCATGAAAAATATGGTGGGGATCCACAGCACCCTCATAAACTGCATATTGTTACCAGAATAAAAAGTACAAAAAGACGTCCATATTGGGGAAAAGATATAATAAAGATGCTTGGATTAGAAAAGCACATACTCCTCAAGTTCACAAGAATATCCCTTCAGTGGACGCAAAACTGAAAGTGGTTAAACATTTGATAAGGATCCAGCCCCTGAAGTTGCCCCAAGGACTTCCAGCAGAGGAGGACATGTCTAACACGTGCCTCAAGAGCACTCGGGAATTAGTGGTGCGGTGGCATCTAAACCCCATAGACCAGGAAGCAGTTAAGTCCTAAGGCCAGAGCAGTTTCATATTAAAAAATGTAAATCATTTTTATTTAAAGGTAGTGAGAAAGTGTTCTCATTAAAACATATTTTAGATACTAGTCCTTTTCACTGGCTAAAAAAAACCACAAAAAAATAAAAAAGGTATCATGTGTAATTCTTTCACTGATTCTATCAGTACTTTTCAAATTAAAAACTAAAGTTTGATTAAACCTGTGGCAAAAAGTGCATGCCACATTTCTAGTACTGTACCTTGCACAGTTATTATAGTTTTTTTTCCTATTAATTTTCAAAGGGAATTCAAGGCCATCACGGTGCAAAAGGAGAGGTATGTTTCTTCATGTCTTATGCTCTCTTTTCAGTCCTTATTGCTTCAATTTTCAATGCTGTATAAATCTAGCTATTGACATCACAAACAAAATGCTTTTCATGTTCTTCAGTTCTTAAATAGTGATTTTCATAATATGTGGATTCACTGAATTAGTTATGAAATGTTACATATTTGTGAACATTAATGGTTCTTCTAGATTAGGAGCTCAGTTTTTTCCTGCATATATTCAACAAAGAACATGGTGTTTCTGTATTTGTCTCTCTAGAATTTAAACGCTTTGGGAACAGGACTGTGTCATGTTTGCTGTTTCTCTGGCACTAAACGTATTGCCTACACAATACGCTCAATGAAGAGAGGGTATTTGTGGAGTTGGGGGGATGGGTGGATGGATAAATATATGAAGTTTCTCTTCTGATTGATAACAGCATTTCACAGCTGTTCCCTATATAATGTACATCATATATACCTCTGTATATAGTCATATGCATATCCTTAAGGAATTCTGTGATGCAGTTATACCTTCTGAAACATTTAAATAGAGCTTTTAAAGATTTCTTTTGATTTCAGAGAGGTGAAAAGGGAGAGCCTGGTGTCAGAGGTGCCACTGGACCAAAAGGAGAGTCTGGGGTGGACGGCCTGATGGGGCCTGTGGGTCCCCAGGGGCAGCGTGGGGTAGCAGGTCCTCAGGGACCTCCAGGATTGGATGGGAAACCCGTATGTATTCTGCTTCTTCCATAGTTCTTGTGTTCTCATTGCTTTTTACTTGGTATGTACATGTTATAATGCCAAATAATTTGATGCAGGGGAGAGAATTTTCAGAACAGTTTATTCGACAAGTTTGCACTGATGTATTAAGAGGTAAGTCTCAAACAGATTTTATTTCTTTTTCTTTTAAAGATTTTTATTTATTTGACAGAGAGAGAGAGAGACAACATGAGAGAGGGAACACAAGCAGGGGGAGTGGGAGAGGCAGGCTTCCCGCGGAGCAGGGACCCCGATGTGGGACTCGATCCCAGGACCCTGGGATCATGACCTGAGCCGAAGGCAGACACTTAACAACTGAGCCACCCAGATGCCCCTCAAACAGATTTTGATAACTTTAAAGTTACTAAAGTAATACAGATTCTTGGTAGAAATTATAAAAGATATAAGTAAGATAAGAAAATAAAGGACATTTATAAACCCCTGTTTTTTTCTAGATGAGTATGTTTATGAAGATGAAAATTATATGTTCTCTCTTGTAATCTTTTTAATAAAGAAATTTATCATGATTTCACTGTGAATTAAATTTTCTTTTCTGACATAATTCTGAAAATTTAATTCATAAATATGGATGTCTTCAATTTGCCAGTTTCTTTTTTGAGGTTTGTTTTCACTTTTCCCTCCCATTTTAAGCAATTGCTACAATAAAATGATGACACAGACCATTGAGTATTTCCAGAGTTAAATTCCTAGAAGTGAAATTATTGGTCAAGAGACCAATTGGCATCTGTAAATTGTAAAAAAATGAGTAGAGATGTTACTAATGCACATTTGCCATTTAAACATAAGGGGTGGGACTTCTTTGTTTTTAAGCTCAGCTACCAGTCTTACTTCAGAGTGGAAGAATTCAAAGTTGTGATCATTGCCAGTCCCAGCACGGTTCCCCTGGTATTCCTGGGCCACCCGGTCCCATAGGCCCGGAAGGTCCTCGAGGATTTCCTGGTTTGCCAGGAAGAGATGGTGTTCCTGGGTTAGTGGGTGCTCCTGGACATCCAGGTGCCAGAGGATTAAAAGGTACTTAACTTTATGTGCATAAGCAAACAAACAATAAAAAAGGGTATGGTTTGTATTCACCCTCTAAACTGATTTAATAGGCAAGGGTTCATCTTTGTTTTTATGATGACAGAAAGCTCTTGTATACCTCAGTCTCTAAATAACTTGTCAACTAGTTAAGCAAATTTTCTATTAAAGCAATATTCTGAAGTAGAGAAAGGTTAAAGTTTAAAGCTTGTGAAGTGACAAATTAGAAAACGTTGAGAATGCACTTAGAGATTTTTCCTGAGTCTTTAATAAGAAGGTCTTTAAATAGAAAGACACAGACACTATTTCCTTTATTTTGACCTCAGTAACTTCTGTTACCTTATTGAAAAGGTTTTTTTCTCTTACGGGAAAAATTATGTTTTGCAACCAAACTTCCTAATGGTCCACAACTTACTTCTCTGTCTTTGAATGTTTATATGAAATGTCATTTGATAATACTTCCCTTTTCAGTTACTATTATATGAACAATTTAGATGTTCAATCACAGTAATAAATAAACAACTATGATTACGAGAAAGGGCTAATAATCCCAAGCCATTTTCCTTTTTAATATGTAATCCTTGTTACATCTTTCTAGATCACTGATAATTTTAGAAATTTTTGCTTCAAAAATTCCATTTCCCGTGAGAAATAATAAATGGCAAGCTATTTTTAAAAGATTTATTTTTCTTTCAATGTGTGTATGAACAGCTTTGAGAGAAACAATCTAGGAGGAAGTGATTTTATAGGAAAAGTAAGCTTACTCCTATCTTTGACACTCTGCAGGTCTACCAGGAAGGAATGGGGCAAAAGGGAACCAAGGGTTTGGGTACCCCGGAGGACAAGGTCCTCCTGGTCCCCCAGGTAAGACTTGTTATATGCTCATAAGTGTTGCTGCACATTTGGCTTTAAGAAAATCATCACCAACCTATGTCAAAAAATTTAAAATCAAGACATTTGTTTCCTTTTTTGAATGTTTCACATTCAACACATTGAGCTCTAACTCCTAGACTTTTCTTCCTCTATCATATTCATGAATCACTCAGGATTTTCTCTTGTTTATCATTTGGATGCCTTAGAAAACTACTCTGTAGATTAGTTCTTGAATGGTTTTAGTCACCCATGTTTATCTAGTGTGTATCACTGTTCAATCTTTGATTCTCAAGAAAGCAGAATAACTGAATGGAGGACTCTTAAGTCACCCTCTGCTAGCTGTGTTATTTAACTTTGTTATGCCTCCGTTTCCTCATTTGTGAAATGGTGATGAGATGTTATGTGCCTCATGACATTATCGGAAAATGATGTGAGTTAATACATGTAGGGCATTTGGAACAGTGCATAACAATCATGTTTTCAATAAATGTACTATTTAAAGATTTTATTTATTTGAGAGAGGGAGAGAGAGCGCGCATGCGAGAGCGTGCACGAACAGACTCCCCGCTGAGCAGGGAGCCTGATGCTGGGCTTGATTGCAGGAGCCTGAGATCATGACCTGAGCGAAAGTCAGATGCTCAACTGACGAAGCCACCCAGGTGCCCCTTATTATTATTGTAGATGTTATTACCTCAAGAAGCTTTTGAGTGGGTCAAAGGATTCAATAGTCTTTATGTAAAATACTTGGAACAGTATCTACAGTTGTAGTTGAGTGCTAAATAAATGTTTCTTAGTAATAGCAGCAGGAATGATTAGTAATAGACAGTGCCTCAGACTACTCTGCCCCATTTCAAAAGCTGAATATTTTGTTCTTTTGAGTCATCAACTTTTTAAAAGGCCAAAATCCTACGTTAACTCTCCTTCCTTTGAGCATGCTAATTGAACTAATTAGGCAATGATTCATAAATGAGTGCTATAACACCTTTATGTGTATGTTGATCACAATTATTGCATGGTAATGACTGTATTTAAGTGTGGAAACTTAAAAATGTGTCTAATGAGAATAGTCATTTAACTGCAAATATGGCACAAAAGTGACTTCAGTAAAGTTTTAGATCACTGATCTATTCACTTGCAAATTTATAATGATATTGACAGAAGATATGCTGGAAGGAAGAAATGTTTGGGCAACCCACCAATTAAAATATTAGAATGTTAGCTCTGTGTCCTAATCAGCAGCATGATTGCTATATTAATATAGCTTAGCCCAGTTTTATAAAAATTGCTGATGATTTTTGAATAGTTCTTTTCCACATGGGAGGTATATAGGATTAGCAAGAGAGTCCCTCCTCTTTTCACATCTGTGCAAATATGTAAAACTTAAAAAAATTTTTTTTTCAGTTTAAATTTCTTACAGAATCAGCTCTATCATCATCAACAACCAAACTCCTCTGTTCATATATTGCTCATGTCCCATCTTAGGTCCGGAGGGCCCTCCTGGAATAAGCAAAGAAGGTCCTCCAGGAGACCCAGGTCTCCCAGGCAAAGATGGAGATCATGGAAAACCTGGAATCCAAGGGCAACCAGGACCCCCTGGCATCTGCGATCCATCGCTATGTTTTAGTGTAATTGTCGGAAGAGATCCATTTAGAAAAGGGCCAAACTATTAGTGTCTGATGCCTCACTCAGCAACCTAGGCATGGTGCTTTTCTCTTGTGGTCTTTTGCATCTCAGGAAGATAACAACAGGAATCCCTTGAAAAGAAACTAAAGTACCTCGGTGTTTTTATTATTATTTTTTTCTTAAGGAAAAATATATAAAAGGTCACATATACTGATTCTAGAGACTCTGCAGTAATTCGAGAGCCTTTAGATTAGTAGCATTAACTAAATCTCAAGGGTTTCTTGTAAGTCCATTTATTTTAATCAAAGTTGAACATTAAAAAAACCCACCATTGCCTGTTACCAGTCAATTTCAGTCACTGTGAAATATTTCACATTCAGCCTCCATGCAGCAGAGTATTTGGGTTCAATTTCATGTCTGTGTGAATTTCATGTTTCATATCTCATAGCACATGCTTATCACATTAGCCAAAACACATGCCTGGTGTCGTTGGAAAGAACATCAGGGCTGACACTCGGCTAGGACTGACTGTGTTGCCCCACCAGCCACTTACTCCAGTGTCTGTCCTAACTGGGGAGGGACAGTGGACTGGTGGGTGTTCAGGGTTTTGAATGATCACCTCTGAATGAGATGAAAGTGTTTCTTAAGTACATGTGCAAACCCTCAAATTATGCTGAGAGACAGTATTGATTACATGGGGAATGGTCAAAATGGTGTCACGTTAAGAATATGTTAGAGAAAAGTTTCATTGTACCTGGTCAGTATGTTCCAAGGAAATGCAGGTTCAGGAATGCTAAAAAGACTTCATTCTTCACATTTGCTTAGTAATTGGAATGTTTGTTGTATGCCTTCATCTTCCATTTCACTTATTATATGTGTATGTTCCTATATGTTAACTTTGATTTGTAGCAAAGCTAATGGGAATAAATGCTCTAGTCAAAAGGAGAGATAACTCCACAGCTCCTAGTACGTGTTGATATTTTTAGCAGACTTTAAAATATTATGAACAGTCTTTGTGTACTGTACTTACTGCTTTTGTAAGGAACATGTTTGAGATATTTCATCCTAATCATGCTCTAAATTTTGTTACATGCTTGTTACTCAAAGTACAATAAAGTTTTGTACAGGCCTGTTTGCCGTGGTTTCTTTTTTATACATAATTTGAACTGATGGAGGAGTATAGTATCCACATCCCATAGTCACTTATTCAGTGGATATGCTTTATTGTTTACCCTATTCTCTACAAACTTGTTCCTCTGAAATAAGAACTTAGAAATTCGGTTGGTGTGCTACTCACGTAAAATACGCTGCAGCATCTCCTTCCTGGCCCAGGAGTGGCTGTGGATCTGTGTTGAGTTTAACTGACGTGTCATTCCACCACTCTGACGAGGACCTCATAACATTCAGTAGCAGAGTTGGCACAAGGCTTGTTTTCTGTTGGTTTTGCTTTTTTTATTGAAGTGTGGTTGACACACAGTGTTACATTAGTTTCAGGTGCACAACATAGTGATCCAACAGGTCTGTACGGTGTGCTGTGCTCGCCGTCTGTCACCACACAACGCTAAAACACACAGTGTAGCCACCGTCTGTCCCCATACGCTGCCCTAATGGTATCATCGACTGTATTGCCTCTGCTGTACCTTTCATCATTCCGTAACTAGGAGCCTGTATCTCCAACTCCCTTTCACCCATTTTTCCCATCCTCCCATTCATCTCCCCTCTGGCAACTATCAGTTTGTTCTCTGTATGTATAGGTATGTTTCTGCTTTCTGTTTGTTTGTTCATTTTGTTTTTTAGATGCCACACGCAAGTGAAATCATACGGTATTTGTTGTTCTCTGACTTATTTCGCTTAGCATAATATGCTCCAGGCCCATCCATGTTGTTGCAAGTGACAAGATTTCATTCTTTTTTATGGCTGAGTAATATTCCATTGCATATATGTATGTACACCACGTCTTCTTGATCCATTCATCTATCAGCAGATGCTTGGGTTGCCTCCATAATTTGGTGGTCGTAAATAATGCTGCAATAAACGTAGGGGTGCATATGTCTTTTTGAATTAGTGTTTTTGTTTTCTTTGGGTGAATATCCAACGGTGAAATTATTGGATCATACAGTATTTCTATTTTTAATTTTTTGAGGAATCTCCATACTATTTTGTACAATGGTTATACCAATATACATTCCCACCAACAGTATACAAGGGTACCTTTTCTCCACATTCTTGCCAACACATTTTTTGTTGTTGTTGTTTTGGTTTTGTTTTGTTTTGTTTTTTTTTTTTTTTTTTGTTGCAGCCATAGCATAAGGCTTATTTTGATGTTCTGTCACTCTGGGTATCTGCTTATGCCTAAGCCCCAGCTAATTATGGCAATACCTGTTAAGACAGTGGTAAAGGAGCAGAACAGGGTAGTTAGTACCTATTCATTCATTCAAGCACCATTGACCATGTGGCCTTTGAGTGGCAGGAACCGTGCCAAGGATACAATGGAAATATAGTTGCACTGTCTGGCCTGAGGTAGTTCCTGCGTAATGAGGTGCAGGGAAGTAAACAGGTGATTCCAATACATTCATTCTAAGAAAGAAGAAAACGCTATGGACTAAACTGTGTCTCTCCCAAATTCATATATGGAAACCCTAACTCCCCTGTGACCGTATTTGGAAATAGGGCTTATGGGTGGTCATGCAGGTTAAATGAGGTCATAAGGATAGGGTACTAATCCTATAGGACTGATGCCCTTATAAGAAGAGGAAGAGGGAAATCTCTCTTTCTACATGCATGCAGGAAGTGTCCTGTGAGCACACAGTGATAAGGTGACTGTCAACAAGCCAGGAAGGTAGCCCACCTTGATCTTGGACTTCCAGCCTCTAGAATTGTGAGAAAATTACTTTTTGTTGTTTAAGCCCACCAGTCGTATACTGCCATAACAAAATAGCATTTTGTTATTTGCTGCCCAAGCTCATAGGAAAGATGTGAGGGTAGGGAAAAAAAATGTCCTAAAGCAAGCAAAGATTATAAACTGATATTTGAAAGGCTAGGAGGTATTAAACATAACCAAGTCATGTCAAGATAATGAAAACGAGCAAAGGCTGGGGGAGGGAGGGTGGTTAGAAAAAACATGGAGGATTCTGAGAATAAAACCCGTAGAATACAAACCATGTTACTTTTAGTATCCTTACTTTTAAAATTAATATTTCAAGGTGAAATATTTCTGTAGTTTATCATGGTATTTGTTATGTCCTAATATATTTTTGCTTTGGACAAATTTAAGATTAACCATCTTACACTGACTTTCAGAAATGAATAGGTGAATGATTTTGTCATGCAAGGACAATATGCATTGTAATCGTGTGTCAGCACCATGCTACATGCAAACTCTTTCACTGTAGTTACAACGAGCATGGCTTCTGTAGTGGGTTTGCCCAGATTCAAATCCCTACTTCCTTTTTCCAGTGAGTCTTCTGAAAATTTATCTAGTTCTTCATGCCTAGATTTCTTCATATGTTAAATGGGGAATATTAATAGTACTTGTATAATAGTAAGTATACAGTATAATTAGTATTTTGAGGATTAAATGAGATGAAACAAAAAATTATTTCATGGAATAAAGTCAGCTAATTTACCAGAACCATACAGATGGTGTGAGATTAGCACATCTTGAGATGAAATTTTAGCTATTAAAAAGATTTTATATCTGTGTATCTCACACTGATAAAACTGATTAATCTGACTCATTGCAATTCAGAATGAAACTCTCAGTCTTAAGGGTAAAGATAATTCTCAATAAAAGCTGTCTGCCAGATTTTGATCATCTTGGTCGAAAATGTAAAGTAGGAACAATTGAGGGGGAAACCCCAACAAGGCCTTGGGGTTTATAGTTTTGGGGTATTTTATCTGCATTTTATTCACTGTATTTTTTTAATTAACTCTTTTTATCCTTGGTTCTTAGAACTTCACCAGGTAATTATTTAATTTCCATTGTGAAGAAGGTTTTAATTGAGATGGAACTGAAAAGTCATTCTTTGATCCCCAGTAGAGGGCAGCAAAATACATATAATCACTTCTACAGAACCTAGCTATGATAACCTTTTTCTTATTGCATTAATCATATAAACTATCACTATATATATTTAATGTGAAAATTTTCTCAGTTTTGCAAGCATGGTTAGATTTATATCCTCAAAACTATTAATCCAAAGAAGAAAAAAATCATAACATTTTTGTAAGTTGAACACCTAAGCCAGTTAATGAAGCTGTTTATATTTTGATGTCTGGCTTATCTGTTTTATCTTTGTATGATTCAGTTCATCTAGTTTAAGTGCTCTGGCTATATCTTCAGTCTGATAACTCTTGTCAAAGGAGAGGCGTGAAGCTCAGACCTGGTATTCCTCAGTTGTAGATCTGGCCAGCTGGCTGGTGTTTTAGGTTTTTTGTGCCCAGGGCAGGCAGAAAGCGGCCCTTATCACTATCTAGAGTTTACAAGTGAGTAAACCAGACGTACTATAATCCTGGAACAGTAGATTTTATAAAATGTCAGCACAAGAGATGAGCAGTTCTGTGGCTAAAGCATTAAGAGCCTACTCTCTGAGGACTGTGGGGCATGATGGGGAGCACAGAGGGACACTTCAATTAAAAGTCTGTCCAATTAAAAGGAATTTTAAAGGAAAAGACCAGAAATAAGCCCAACATTTATTAAATTGAGCTGTAAATGTTTCTCCAGAATATCTTAACAAAACGTTAATCTTAAAATGTATGTAGAAAAATTGTATCTTGCTCCAAAGAACACATTTGAAATAAAGAACATTGCTGTTTCTACTTACCAAATTATTTCTGGGTTCCGCCTTTCTAAAAGTAGGTTTTCACAGAGGAACTTTGAATAAGTAGACTTTAAAAGTCCCATATTGGTATCCTAGATGAAAAGGACCATTTGAAATCGCTGACTGGAGTATCCTATCTGGAGAACTGAAACACAATGACACTGTTTTTCCATCATGTCCCCAGTTTAGTTGCCATTTCAAAATAATATTAAAAAAATCAAATTTGAAAAGTGTCTATGGCTCTTACAGAGTGAAATTCAAAGTGAAATTTTGAAATAAGTCATTTTGACAACAAAAAAGATAGAGTCCTGTGACATGTGATATTGGATGAATCTGATAATTTCCCTGAATTTGTTTTCTTGTCTCTGAAACAAAGGGTTTAAATGACTGTGTTTTTTCAACCTAGGCTGTGCATTACAATCACCTAAGGAGCTTTAAAAAAATGCCCTTGCTTGGGCTTAAGAGATTCTGGTGTAACTGGTTTGTCTTCCATGTGGAGGTAGTAACCGTACAAAGGCATTGGGCCAGAGAATACAGCTCAATGGAAGTAGAAGTAATTCTGTATTTGTGGGTTTTAGAAAGCTGATGGTAGAAGGTGGCAAAAGATAAGGGTAGAGATATTGAGAGTGGGGAAAACGGATGGAGTGGGAAGGAGAAGATATTACAGAGTCTTGTGGGATTTTAAGGAGGAGATAGGAAGAGATTTGCATTGCAGAAGGATCACTCTAACTGCAGTAAGAGTAGATGAAACCCAGGCAGGACTGGAAGTGGAGAAGCTAATTAAATGCCATCACAGTGGCACTGAGGATAAAAGTGAAGATAAAGGAGGATAAGACAGAAGCAGAGGGGATGGGAAAATAAAAGGCCATCAATTTATTCTACTGTAATCGTGGATAACTTCCAGAATGTACCCAGTGATACCAGGAGGGTGAGGGCTTGCTGGTATAGTGCAAGTTAGGGTGTGAACCAAATTTTTTAGACTTCCACCTGGCTGTTGACATAGGACAAGTTTGTTTGTAGGGCTCAGGGCTGCATCTTCTAGGGGCCTCTCTTGCAAACGTTGGCAGGTTGGCGTGAGAATCGTGGTCTAGAATGTGAATGGAAAGGTAATCGTTTCAGGCTTCATTGGGGCAAAACATGCCAGCCTGTTTCTGATGCTGGTTCTGGTTGTGACAAGAAGTTTCTACACTTATGTGTTATTCACAGCCTTTCACTGATAACAAGAGTAAAAGGTATCTGTTTTTCTTTTCTCTCTGATGCCTCAGGATTCAAGAGAAGATGATTTTACATGTGCTGTGACCTTTTAGGAACATC